AATAAAATATAATTATAGAAAAAAAAAACAGACTAAGCTCTGAGCATACACTCCTCTTCATCATCATCATCATCATCATCATGTTCTTCATCATCATCACTACCATAACTGTAACACTAAAAGTAAGTGTTTTCATGATGCACAGCATTTCCTATTTTTGTGATGACAGGAGTCTAGAGTGAAGGCTACATGGTGGAGTGGGCCTGGGGGAGGGTTTGTAAAACAATGAAAGAACTGTTCTTTTACTTTTCCAAGAGGGTAGTGTACTAGGGGGGAGGGTTGGGAGGGGAGAAAAGTGCAACAATGAATGAATCGAAATCCAAAGTCTCTGTAAATTTTTACTGAAATTAATAATAATTTAAACTAAAAAAATTTTACAAAAAGATTTCCCGTTTTGGAAAACCTGAAAAAGGCATTTAACTCTGTTACCAGCATAGAATAAAATAAACACTTTCCAATCTGTGAAAAAGAGCTGCAAAAAAAATACCCACACATATGTATTTAAAAATTGGAAAAGGGAAGAATTAAAACATCAAATTGCAGGACAATACATGGAACATCATCAAGTATATAATTTGTTAACTATGAAGAACTGTACATATATTTTTGTAAATATATAGAAGCTGGAAACATGCAGACTGACTCTTCACGCTGTTAGCCTATATGTCTTCATGTATTGCTTTGAATTCTGTAGTGTTTCATTTCTTATAATGGGAAATAATAAATGTAATTTTGTGTTGTTTTTAACTTCCATGAGACAAATAAACTGCTAGTCCTCAGCTTTTAAAACGCTAGGGCTTTTCTCAACATAAAATAAACAAATAAAAACCAACGTGTTTCCATGGATTATCAAACCCACTGCTAGTATCTGCATCCTAATGCCCTAAATCCAAGAGGGATTTGAGTTTAATGCTTTCCCCTCACCCCAGAAATATGTTACCATGTCAAAGAATATTAACTGCCTTTGTTTAGTGAGTCTATGTTTGCCACAGTCTCTCATGTGGTTTTAGTAAGTGTCATCTTTAGTGGAAATTGAAAGAACAGCTGAAAAAAGTGAGTTCAAATAATGAAACAGGGTATCCATGAGCTCTGAGGGTAAATACATTACTTTGGGAAATTATAAATTAGGGAAAGTAACTTTCGTAAAGTGATTCTCCTTGCCAATCCTGTTGACCTTAGTAAGACAGGAAGAATCTTGTGTTAAATAAATTCTGAGTGAAGGGTTAAGGTGGTGTGGCTGAAGAATTGAACAAAGAGCTTGAAGAACAAGGGCTGACTTCATTGCTGGTGGGATGTGAGTTTTAGATTTTTGCATACTAAAATTTAGTTTATGTCACCTTCCATTTCATCTGACAGTGTGACTGGAAAGGGATCCCTGGGTGATGCAAAACGTTTGTTCTCAGCTACTAACTTAAAGGTTAGCAGCTCAGACCCTCTCATTAGCTCCACAGAAGAAAGTGTGATAGCAATAATACCTATTAATGGGATTCTTGGGATTAAATGAAAAGAACTAGAATAAAATCTGAGCTATAATATATACTATATGTATTGTTAAATATTTTTATTAGTAGTATTTATGAGTGTTTTATCAGAAACACTTTTGTACATGTGGCCTCTTTTTCAATATGACTGTGAATCTTTTTTTGTTTGTTAAGCAACTCATTTAGTCAGTTAATGTGTGTTAAACAAGCACCTATAATGTGCCATGCACTATTCTTGCTGCTGGGACAGAACAGGTGGCAAGATAAAACTATTGTTTACTTGGAGCTTATATCCCAGTGGGAGTAGCCCCTAAAGGGACAAAGAGAAACACAGAATGCTCTTTCAGGTTGCATTTTTAAAGAAAAACCAAACAAGGTTGGAGGCTGGGAAGTGGCATGGGTGCTATTTAAAAGGCATGGCAAAAGGAAAACCCTATGTAAGTGGAGACGAAAGAAAAGAGCACTGAGGCATTGTTGTGATTGTTGTTATGTGTTATCGAGTTGGAACCGACTCATAGTTGACTCTCCAGAGAGTTTTCAGAGGCTCTAAATTACACAGAGCAGTTGGTGGATTTGAACTGTGTGCCTTTGGGTTGGCAGCACCATCCTTTACCACTAATCTACCAATATCTCTAAACCAGGAATGCAACTGGCATAGTTGAGGTACAGCAAGGAGCCAGTGTGGCAACAGGAGGGTCAAGAGGGGTGAGAGCTGAAGGGACCCAGCAACCAGAGGAAGGACTTTCAATCTGATTCTAAATATATATAGAAAGTAGATGTCCACATTGCTGAGCTATTCCCCCAAACAAGGGATGGGGTAGAGAAAAATTTCAAACTTCTCAGCCACACAGACAGTGACTGTGGCCGTGAACAGTGCTCACTTATCCTCCGAATAAATAGAAGGACTTTTAAACCACTGAATTCTAATCCATAAAATAAATCTGTCACAATAAGTGTAAGGTGATGTAGCATATCACATGCTGGACTGAAAAACTAAACGGTCTGTGGTTCTAATCTACCAGTTACTCCATCGGAGAAAGATAGGTAGTTTCCTCTTTTGAAGATTGACAATGTGAAAAGACAATGCAGGACTGTGGAATCCACTCAAAGGCAGTATGCTTGGCTAAATTCTATTGTGATTAAGAAGTCCTGGTGGTGTAGCAGGTTAAGTGCTGAGCTGACAATCTAAAGGTTGGCAGTATGAACTCATCTATTGCCCCATGGTGAAAAGATGAGGCAGTCAGTTGTCTTCCACTGAGATTTGTTATTGTTATGTTGTTAAGTGCCACTAAGTCAAGCATCGAGCACAACTCATAGCGACCCTATAAACAAAAGATATGAATCCTGTTCTATAACTATAATCATTTCTCTAATGTTCATAAAGTTTCCAAAGGCATGTTGTTTAGGAAGTAGATGCCAAGCCTGTTTCCAAATCTATCTTAATCTCAGAACTCCACCAAACACTGTCCATTATGGGTAACCATCATGGCTTTTGAAACATCAGTGCACACCATTCAGCATCATAGCAACTCTAAGTTACCCCAGCACAGCAAATTGACAGACCAGTGCAATACCACTTAGAAGAATGTTCTTCCCAAATGCAATTAACACCAGGCCCAAGGGCCTCAGTCTTGAGGGTCCAATCTACTTTTAAATGCAAAGGCCCACCCATCAGGTTCTGATTGACTTAAAAAAGAGATTTCCAGCCCACCGCTTGTTAGTAAAATCCAGTATATCCAATCAGCTCACACATGATTGTGAATGAAATAAAAAAAAAAAAAACAACCAAATAGTTTACACCTAACTTTCAATAAAAACAAGAGGACCTACCCTCTAGAATCCAACTGCTTCACACATGAGTCTCCAAACTGGAAACTTAGGAAGTGCTCAATCGATTTTTAAATACAAAGACCCAAAGGACAAAACTCAATGAGGCAGTAAGCTTATTTTCTTTTTGCTGTTGCTATTTGCTGCCTCTGAGCTGATTCTGACTCACAGTGATTCCATGTGGTATATAGGAGAGCTGGCTCATAGGCTTTCCCACACTGTACTAATTATAGAAGTGCACTGCCAAGTCTTTCTCCAGCAGTCACTGGGTGGCTTCAAACCATAAACCTTTCAGCTATCGGCTGAGTGCTTGAAACGTTGTGCCCCCAATGTTCCTTATTACATCTTCTACTATTGAAGGATATTTTGGTATTTCTGATATTCAGTTCAAACACAGAGAACACATTTCCACATTAGGAATCAGAGTTGTGCTCATGAACTCTGTCCAGAAAGCCAGCAAATGATTTCCTATCCCTCTGTCTATCTTTCAATTCAAAATCAAGGCTCAAAGCATTCTTCTTTGATTCACAGAGCTGCTGAGATCTAGCAGTCCAGGAGCAGAAGTCCTGGCGCACCGGCCACACTCAGCCATCAGGGTATTAAAGAGGTTCCAGCACAGGAACATACAGATTCAGGTGGGGTGACAGGTCACAGCCCAGCCCTCCAGCCACCAGCCTACCTCTGCAGATGGTCCCATTCCCCACGTAACCCGGTTTGCAGGTACAGCTGTGACCCTGGACAGTGTTGGTGCAGATGGCATTCTCGTCACAGTTGTGCTGCCCGCTGCCACACTCGTCATGCTCTGTTTGCCGGGAAAGAGAGAAAAGAAGACACTTTTTCTTAACTTGGATTCCTTACTGGTGGGAAAGTTAGCTGCTGCAACTCGACCAAATCGAACTGACAGTGAACACTGTGGATTGGATATTTGCTGTTTGCCTGGCATTTTCTATAGTTGAAATGGTTGAATTCTTTTCAGCTCCATAAGAGAAATGTTATCAGTGACTTAAGTTACTAACTAGAATCACTGCTTTTAAGCAATTTCTTTCTTCCAGTTTCTCAAAGGGTTCCTGCTGAGGCTGCAAGACAGTGGCTCAGTATTTGATGCAATTTGTAGCATCTCCCTTTGGAGGACATCTGGAAGCATCTGAAGACATTTTTAGTTCTTATAAATGTAGGAGAATGGGAGCAGGGGCTGGAGTAGAGTGGGAGCCCTAGTGGGAGCTGGAGCTATTGAGAGATCATGGGTGCCGTATTACCTTTTATACTCAGAGCAGCCCACTCCCCTCAATAACATAAAATTAACCACCCCAAAATACCAACAGTGCTAACATAGGGAAATTCTACTTAAAGGCAAAATTGAAATGAAGAACCAAACCCAGAGATGAAATTCTATGGCTTCCTTAGACCTTATTGAGAAGATAAAAAGAAGAGCAGTTCTGTGGCTAATACCCCTAACAAAGGTGGGTTTACCAATGAATATTTTGAAAGTAGTAGCACTAGCCATGGGGACCAGAGGAATTCACAGTATTGTGTGGTGAGTAAAAAAGGAATTTATTCTGAGGACTCGAAGAATCTTCAGCATTTTAACCCTAATTTTCCATGCAGCCATTTTTATAGGGTTTATAATTCAAATTCTGGGCTGATCTTGATATGCTGAAATACAATACTACCAAAAGCAATTTACACATTTAATGCAATCCCAATACAAATACCAATCCCATTCTTCAATGAGATGGAAAAGACAATCTCCAATTTCGTATGGAATGGAAAAAA